GGGCAAAATGCCTTGCTCTTTTTTTTCGCGTTTGATACGTTGCATGCGAGGCGTGGCGTTTCATTACTCTAGATAATGAATGGCGTCTTTTGGTTTTATCTTTTTATTTTATCATGTTTCGAGGAAAAAAGAAATATCTTTGTGTGCGTATTTCTTTATATAGCATTGATGATCTCTGCATTTGAACGGGGAGGGATGGAGCATAGTCTGGGGGCAGGGGTCAGCATGGTCCTTTTGGGAGTGGGAAGGGAGATTTCAGGGAGTGGGTATTCGGCTAAAAATGGCACATGTACGACGGAGAGAATTATAGGAGGTGACTTTTTTTCACCAGGGGGCTTAGCCGAGTGAGTGGGTTGGGGGCGAAATTTGAAATGGGATGAGATGGTGATGGATTGAGTAGTCGGGAAATGATTGAATTTGATGAAGGAGGAGCAGATGGGGAAATGAGTGGATGGGGAAGAGATAGGTATCTACCTAGTGATTGTTTTGTTGCTACTCAATATAATGACGTTATGTGATTTCATGGATTGATTGATTGATGTAATGGTTGATGTAATCTAATGGTTGATATGTGTGGGGAGGTTGAATGATGAATGGGTGGATGGTGGATGGGTGAATGTTTTTATTTGTGTGTTTTTGATTGATAATGATGATGAGATAAAGAGGTGTGGAGGGAGTTGGTGGTGTTGGCTAGTCGCCTGTGTGATGTAATTCGGAGCATAGCGAAAGTAACTGATGCATCAAATTTTACGGAATTTTTGTATCGCATACCTATATATTGATTGTATTCTCTATAGGTATTCAGGATTCAATTTGTATCTAGCATGTGCTTTATATATAAATAGGTAGGTAGGTAGTTATATTATATCTTAATATCTTAATATCTTAATGTCTTAATGTCTTAATATCTTTTAATCTTTTAATCTCTTGTTATCAATTCAAATATATATATCAAATAAGCTTTATTTTTAGTTTTTTTTTAGTTTTTTTTTAAGGTTGTTAAAAATATATTGCGTATTTTGTGTTTACGATACTCTTGATACTAGTGTATCTGGGTTTGTAAGGAATGGATATTAGATATTCTGAAATACGGACGAGTTGTAGCTGTCTTGTTCTGAAGTATAGATAGATACCTGTATAGATATCTAGATGTTTTATTCATGTAGCTAGGTAGGTAGGAGCTAGGTGGGTATTGATTTATCTGGATAGGTACTTGATTCTTTTCTTTCTTCTTTCTTTCTTTCTTTCTTTCTTTCTTTCTTTCTTTCTTTCTTTCTTTCTTTCTTTCTTTCTTTCTTTCTTTCTTTCTTTCTTTCTTTCTTTCTTTCTTTCTTTCTTCTTTCTTTCTTTCTTTCTTTTCTTTCTTCTTTTTTTCTTTTTGTCTGGTGCTTGTGGATATCTATGGCTATGAGTGTGAGTTGGGTTGGATGAAGAGTATCTAGGTAGCCCTGGGTATTTATATTTTCTAGAAATTCAAAAGGGGAATACTGTATATTCCATCGATGTATCGCTTACCCGATCTGATCTCTTCAGATCTCTTCAGGGAGTGTAATCGTTTCTAGGTTTATTTGGTAAGTGCTAACTACCTACCTATGTTATATATCTATTATAGAGGTTTAGAGAATCCGTGGGTATGTATTACATGCTTTTTTTTTCCTTTTGCATAGCTATTACAAGAAGAAAAAGCCAACAGACGTGCATCGCATCACATCACCGACTTGACTATCTATTCTATTTCTCGTCAAAGAGCAACTCTAAATAAATTATAGCACGCAGGATAGCTCGACTCGCGTTTGCGGCTCCTACCTAGGTATCTACCTATGCAAAGCTAATGGATTCCATCGAAACCCATCTTTTGATCACGAATTTCAGGGGAGATGAAGCTCGCATAAATACTGGTGAGGGATATCGATGCAGGGAGAGAGCGACTATAATAGCGGGTGGGTGGGATACCACTAGGCGGGCTTGAAAATGTAAACACGTCGAGTTTACTTGTAGTGAAAGAAAGTAGTATAGTGGAAGTAGCATTCTTCGTTTCGTTGTAGCGGCTACCCAGCTGTCCCGTCTGGTAGATCAGGACTGCATAGTATAGACTTGTTCGTTAGCACATGTATGTCGTTTTGGTATGATTGATGCGTAAAGCTGGCGAGGCTGAAATATCTGGGTCGCGGTTTTCGGATCGGCTGAAGATGATGTTGTATCCGTATCGATTTTGTGAGGGTTTTTTGGAGGGAGGAATGGAAAAAAGTATCTTGTTTAGGTAGTCTTTGTGGAATTTTCTTTAGGGGTGTTGTATTACTCTAGTTCCAAGCTGTATTTTGCTCTTTGTGGGAGTGAGCTTCTTGCGGTGGAGTCCAACTTATCAACTTATCAAGTTGTTCTTTGATCTGTGATTCTGTGTTGCTGTTAGTAAAATCTGATGCGTCGTGGTCTCTTCGAAAGTTTTGCGCCTTGTCATTTGTTGTTGGAGTCATTGATGCGTGGACCCTGCGAGACTCGTTATACATCGTACACTGCCGAATAGCTTTGATCCTTTTCATCATCTGACTCAGCTATTGTGTTCATGTGATCAGTGAACGTCTCAAGCGGATGGTCGAGAAATATGAAAAGGTATTTAATACAACATCCAGCGTACAAAATGTTAGAGTCCTATTGATCCAAGATATTACAGGGTTTGCTGGGTGAAATATTTGCGGCGCATGAACTACTTGGTGACATTGCGGGATATGACGTGGCCGGGTCTCTGGGCAGCTCTCTGCATAAGGGCCTCGAAGCCTGCGAGTTGCTTGAGATTCTCGAAGAGCAGGAGCGTCTAAAGATGCGATCAGTGGCTGGCATAGTGGCCTCTGAGAACGATCCCATGGCGAGGTTATTGTTAGTCAGGAAGGTATCTCGCGTCGCCGAACTATCTCGGAAATGTATCGACACAAAACTAAGATGGCGTTTCCTACTCCTTCGTTGTTGTTTACAAGATGCATGTGTTGGATTGCATTGTAAGCTACCACGCGAGGGCTAGCATCATTGCTGGAGATGGGGGAGAAAGAATATGGTAAGCAGGATCTATACATATCTGGGAGAATCATACCGCCAAGAACCACAACAGGTACTGTTCACTGCAATGTTTTGCGATAGTCATTCGAACTCTGAGACATCGGGTAAACTTCACTTTCAGGATTTAGTAGTGCTTCTCAGACATGCAGAGAATAAATGAGCAAGCTAAAAGGTGATTGATGAGCAGGAAGTAGAGGTTTTATCTTGAGTGGTTTTCGTCCCTTTACGTGGGAGTCGTGGAAAGTTACTCCCAAATCAGAGCTAGTGTTCCAAAATGCGCCAGCTTGATCGTAGTTTGTTGATAAGGCTGCTGCACTTAGCTACGATATACTCTTGTCTTCATTTGGCTTTTGATCGGGTGACTTTTAGTTCGTTTTATAAAGTCTCTTTCGGGTATTCCTATTCTCGGAAATCGGCAAACTATCCAGAGGCGTTGATTTTGATTTGAATATCACAATATTTGCCCAAGTTTCCCCAGTTTTAGCTATGTTAGTAAAGTCTAGTAAGGATACTCTCCTGTTATCTCTGATCCGATATGGTGAGATGATACGGTGTATTATACTAGATTCAAAGGATATTTTGTATTCTGCTCTCGTAATTCTTTTAAGGTTAAGCGTTACATATTCATTTGAGTTTATGTAACTAGAATCTATTCTCATATTATAGAATCTAGTTTGAAATAATTAGATTCTAGTCACTTAGGATTATAGATTCTATTGTAAAATCCAAGGAGCATGAGAGTAAAGTATCTTAGGATACAAGAGTAGTTAAATAGCTTCGGAGGGCATGAGAGTAATTTGCCGTATTATATAACTTCGTAATTCAATACTATATCATTTCAGAAACTAACATTTTATAATTGTATTATAATATAATCTAAATCTTTTGATCAGATCGCTTAAGTTGTATAAATATCATATAATCATACTCAGAAACATTTTGTAGAATATTTACTTTATCTTACGAGACACCACCAGGTGAATATCAGTTCAAATACCCAGGTATACCCTACCTACCTAGGTATCCAGAGCAGCCCGACCTCAGTACCTAACCCTAATATAATTATAATTCACTGTAAGTTTGCTAATATTGGAAGTTGGCAAATATTGATGATTTATCAACATTAGGTTCACTGCCTGCTGAATGAACTAATGAGGCGAAAGTAGATTGATTTCTTCGAAACAGTATGCTGTCGTGTACGGAGAAACAATACTAAGACCACTGAAAATATCCATCTACAACAAAACCCAAGCTTCAAACTCTCTCCCGTCTTGCCACGCCCTTAACTTATCGTCTACATGTTCATTTCAAATCTCTTACTCGTTCTAATTTTCTCTCCAAACTTTACCAGCAATAATGGTATGGGGACAAATGCCAGTGCAACAAAGCCCAAAACTGAGTTGCCCCATCCTAGCCCAAGTTTGCCGTATATAGGGGCGGCCCGGCTAAAGGAAGCACCGTACCCGCCACATTTCGTAATACTATCATAGCTGCCATGGCGGACACCGCATGCTGCGTATATGCGTCCACATGTATGTGACGCAAGGAAGAGTCGTAAGTATCAACCCGCAAGATATAATTGCGGTCCCCATAATGGGGACGACGTATTGAATGTGTTTTTCGGCTGTCCATCCGTAGATGAAGAATCCGATTGGGAGAATCATACCGCCAAGAACCATAACTGGCAGTCTGTATTCCGGTTTTATCTCTCCTCCAGCTGCGGCTCGGATCGCCCATTTGTCGAGGAGGAGGTTGCAGCTGATGGCTCCAATAAACATGCCGATTCCTATCCCGATGAAGGTGAGTCCGACGGGTCCTTGTGATACGTTGAATTGGGACTCGAATACTTCGGTTAGGGTTGTCATTACTAGATATAGCCATCGTAGATAACTGCCGAATACAGAGACATAATCAGAATAATCGGAGAGAAGAGAAGCATTTTACAGGTCTTAAAGCTCCCGTTCGGAAGACCTCGCTTTTAGAAAGATCGCTCGCATATTTAGATCGGAGAGTGCCATGTTTCCTGTTTCCTTTCTTAAACCGGTTCGTCTTTTTTTTGGAGAATCGTTACCGCGTATGTTTCTCTCAGGAACAAAAATTCCTATTTGCACAACACCGGTTGCAATAGTGATGATCCAGAATGTCCAGCGCCATCCCGCAGCAGCCGTAAGATACCCTCCGATGATCGGACCAACGACGATACCCAGTAGTGGAAAAAGACTGATAAGTGATATAGCACCTCCACGCTGCTCTGGAGGAAACATGTCACCTATAGTTCCATCATTGAGTGTTGTAGATGCAACCATCAGACCACTTAAACATCGAAACGCAATGAGCTTGTCGATGTTAGTACTGGTCGCTCCTCCAATCGAGAAGATGATGAAGAGGACGTTGGCTACGTTGTATATAACCAGCTTTCCATAAAGCTCCGCGAGAGGCGCGATTATCAAAGGCCCGAGAATTTCGCCTAGCTCCCAGATGGATACGAGGATGGTAGAGTATAGACCGCTGTTTTCATGAAAGCCTGCGAGGATTTGCGGGGCTGCGGGTGCTACGATAATGGTTCCTAGATTTCTGGAGGAGTTAGTGAGGAGAAGGTGAGGGAGATTTAGGGTTGAGACGTACACCATTAGATTCATCAGGGAAAGAATTGCTACCATGGACCATTTGTAGCGGGGAGTCCAGTTTATGGGGTTGCGGGATCGTCTGGGCCATCGAAGTCGATGATGTTAGGGTCGGTCATGCTTTGATAGGAGGGGCCTTTTGATCTTGAGTTGATGGGTCGTCTGGTTTTTTAATCAGACATTTTGACTTGAGATTGCTCGAGGGTGTGGAGGGATGGATGATGAAGGGCTTTCAGACGACTTGAAGACTTCTTCTTTACAACTGCAAGTTTACTTATCATACTTAAGATCTGAGAATAAAAGTAACATAATATTCCATGTCTATATACCTACTCGTACAAGGAAAATCTACACGGGAGATTTTTTCCAAATTCCCACCTCTCTCCCACACTACCAAAAAAAGCCAATTTCCTAACAACCCGTATCAATTTCCTCACGATATACGTATCCCCAACATATACTCCTGTTACAACTATCCAAACCAGGAAGCTAGAAACTCGATGTCGTGGAATAGATAAGGAATTTCCTTTTTGAGATATAGTTGTAGGAAATTGTAATTTGCGATGTATGTCAGACCAACCAACCAACTGTTGCGAACAATTGTGACGTGGTCGAGGTGCGGAATATTAGATACGGGATATAAGATATAAAAGACATATATTTCTGAATCTCGAGAATCCTCAAGGAAGGAAATAGAAGAGATAATTTGAGTACTTACTTCTCAACTCACCACACTAGCTCAATTTCTCCATCTCCCATTCTCCACACCCACATACACAACCCCCTTTATCCCAAAATGTCCCCCTTCACCGTAACCGAAGCGCACACGCGCCCCGAAATCCATACCATAGCCCTACTCATCCAAAAAGCCAACCGCACCCCCTACCGTCCCTTCGTCGCCATCCAAACGCCCTCCGCTCCCGATCTCCCCACCGCGCTCAGCCTCTCCCAAGACTGGTTCTGGAACAATCACACGCATACACCAAGGAGTCATTGGATTACTGTTCAGGATAGTGAGACTGGTGAGGTAGTCGGCGCGGCGAATTGGTTGGTGAATGAGAAGAATATTTTTCGAGTCCGATGCCGAAGATTGAGGCGGGGTGGTGGGCGGAGGGGGGGAGGGGAGGGAGTTTGCGAATTTTGTGTTGGAGCAGGCATTTAGACCGAGGATGAGTTGGATGAGGAGGGGGTGTTTGAGTAGGTTTTCTTCTTCTTCTCTCGTCTTTCCTTAGGAGGAAGAAGATTCTATGAGGAATAAGAGGAACTAATCATGGAAATCGAACAGTCCTCAATATCCTAGCTACGCATCCCTCTTACCGTCGTCAAGGCGTAGAAACTCTCTTGATGCAATTCGGAGAGGAGAAAGCTAAAGAACTAATCTGGAGAGTATGTGAATAATTTCATCAATCTTGCAGGTTTTCCTATTTACCTAATTCTATATCTCGATTTCAACCCCGAATTTTCAACCTCTTCTCCCACGAAATTCTTTTTCTCCTAGCGTAGACTTTCATTTCTTTGAAAAAAAAAAATCATCTAAAGTCTCATTTTTTGAAGATAAAACTAACGATACAAGATGCTGGAGTGAAGCCGAAGGCGGAATTGGAAGAGAAGGAGCGAGATTTCTACTCGAGAAACACGGTTGGAGACCGTTACTTAAATATTGTATTTATGGAACCAAGGAAAATATGAGTGAGGAGTGGCAGGAATTATGTCATAAGTGTTTACCGCAGGAACAGTATGCTATGGTGAGTTTTATTTTACATTATTGGATTTCACTGTGTTTTTTCTTCGACTTGGAGGTTAGGGAATTGTTGGATGATATTGTGATATATTCCTTGGTCTTAAAACCCTTGTTTTATATCTTGGGATGTTTTTGGTCGATTGATTGGTTGATTGATGTATTCGAGGAGTTTATTGACATGGCTTCGACTCCTCTTTTTTTCTCTCGTTTCTGGCTTTTCTGCGCGGGAACATGTAGTAACCCGTTGCCAGTGGAAACCAAAAGGAGGCGTGTGGACGGATGATTCGATTTTGCCCTGGGATTTGGGGGCTGAGAATTAAGTATGCTTGGTTTTGCTTTGTTCTGAATAACAGGGTTAATTCTTGATGAACAAACGCATTTCGCGTGGCAGAGGTTGAGGAAAGGGGATAAGAGAAAAGGACAAGGAGTAAGAAATGCATTGATGATTTACCGAGAGCGGCGTGAAGAGGAGACGAGTGGTTGTGTGATGATGGGGTAGAGATATTTATTGTTTGTCAATTCTAGTCGCTTTCATAGGTCCAAGTGATTAATCAATAGACATGGTCTTCTTTTAAACATGTTACGTCGGTGTGTCCGTAAAACTTGGTCATAGAAAATTGATAACAATAAGGTGTGCAAGCTCTCACGTTCTGGGAATATTTTGATCCAACATGTTCAAACGATTCCAGTGGTTTAAACATTGCAAATATTGCGAGTCTTCTAGACAATTTGCCTGGTAGTCAAACCGCATAGGTACTCCGAAAACCCTTATATAGCCTTCCTTCCCCTCAAATTTAAATACCACAATTCCATCGCATCTGCCATTCAACGCCTGCCCGATTTCGCCAGTCTCAAATCTGTAAGTTCTAGATCATGATTGCATTTATAAGCTTTGCTGCTATTCCCAACTCCCGCATGGGGACCTCTCAATCTACTTCACCAGCTTCGACTTCAGATGGATGGGGAAATCCTAAATCGTGGTCAAGGAAATTTACTTCGAATATTGTATTTTTATCTTCTTCGGTCTCGACCGGTTACCCACTGCTAGCGTATCTAGATTTCTTTAGATTTCTATGGGGTCCAGCCGAGATACTTGAGGGTTACTTTACTTTCTAAATATCGGTAATGGTTGGTGATATCATCGTGTCGTGCTTATTTGTTCACTGCAACGTTATCAATTTAACAAGCCGTAGTTCAATGATATGAGATCTTTCGATCTGAGGCTCTATTGTATGATAGAATTGTACAAATTCCGAGAATTATTGAAATGTGCAAGAGCTGGAAGAAAGAATGTATATCAGAATTGATTCAATTTATCTATAACCTACCATCGCTTTGTATGTTGCGAAAGAGATCGTGGTCTGGATATGCATTAGTTTCTTTGGTGGCAAAATTCAGCATAGATCACATCAATTAAGAGAAGTGTAACCCTGTTAATCACCGTGGCATTCGAAAGTTTCTGGCTAGTGAATATATCGGCTAAAAATTAGCGTCTTAGCCCCCCCTAAATACTTTCACACTTTCATAAGTTGTAGGTTCTTAACGCTTATTCCAGAAGCTAGAACTGTAATAATCTATTGAATGATTTACCTATTCAGGAGTCTAGAATTATAAAACTGCAGAAGACAATGAGAGGAAAATATATACTAGTAACAGAAGCGAGCTAAAAGTAGTAGAACGAAAGCACGACTAGAATGGCTATGAATATTAAACTCATGAATACAAAACTACAACAAGTCGAATGTGATAACTTCAAAGTACAGAGCAATTTCACTAGTACACTACAACACAAGAAAAACATAACGATCAACCTCACGAAGAAGAAGAAAAGAATCACAAAAACACATAAACCCAAAACGATGGATCCAAGGAACGAGTGGCCACTCTATTCTATTGAACTATATACCGAAATGAGATCTACAAAAACAGACACGGAACCGAAGAGAACGAAACATCTAAAGGGCGAAAAGCCCCGCAAACCCTGATCACAAGTCTATCACCGACAGCGCATCTGCTCCCGTCCTCTAACAACCACTGATGCAAAGAACCGAGTTTCCTTGATAGCTGCACTCTATATCATTGTGTTAGTACGCATCCATGATATCCGACTCATTATCATTCTGAAACCAAAAAGAAGAACAAAATACATACTTCCATTCAAAATTCCCCCTACACCATTAGTCCAGTAAGCGCAATCCGCTCCGCCGGGATGTATATTCTGCGTGTTCATCTCGGTGCAAGCTTCGTGGACAACGGCTAAGAAGTAGAGTTAGTTCAATATCCAACTGACACCATCGGATCGGATAAGATGCGTATGGGAACACTTACAGCCTCGGATGGTCGTGTAGTTGTTGTTTGCAGTCCAGACTTGAGTATGGTCATCCAGGGACCAAGCGTCGACGTTGGTAGCAAGAGCGAGGATGGAGGAAATGATAATGGTAGTGAATTGCATGATTGCGGTGGATTTGTTGGATGGTTTAGATTGAGGTGATTGAGTTGGTTGTATGGTTGAGTGAGATGATTGAATGATTGAATGATTGTGTGATGAAGAGAAATTTTTAATGCGTGACAGAAACTGAGTTTATATAGATTTTGATCTCTCTATTCACCATCAATCTAAGGATCAATCTTCATGTAAAAACTATCCAGAGGCTGTTTTACACTTGGCTTTCTTTGACATACATTTCTTGACAGTAAATTTTGTCATGCTGTTCAAGATTTCTCGTACAGAATTACTTTGCTCCCTTGGCATTATACATTGTGTAATACGCCAAGGTGGTCATATTCCTTTGGACATCTCGTCGCTTTGACGCTTCGCTGCTCCGCCCAACTTTGGGGGCGACGACTAGACAGAGAAGGATTATTTTACGTCTCTAAAATGGGAATATACAATGAAACAGCTTCAATAGAGAAAACACAGGAGGATAAACAGCCAAAACCCCAAGATATTCACGGAGTTGCTAAACTCGAGATTCTTCCAACACTCCAAATCCACTAAAAAGACTCCACATTTAAATCATCAGAAAACAAGAGATCTAGAATCATACAGCCGATACGACAGCATAACTCTCACGCGCAAATCAACAACAAATCTAAAAAAAATCAAAAAAAATCCACAACCTTCCAACCTTCCATTCCAATCTTCCATCCTAAGCGCCGAACCCAACCCACGATCCCGCGATCCCCCATCTTCGTCTTCGATTCTCACACGCAATCAACCACCCACCCACTCCCCCTCAAGCTTAAGCTTATACTCCAAGTCACACAACCCCCTATCCTCATAAGCGCTTGCTCTCCACTCCCCAAACCCAAAGGTGACCGACCGTACCACTCACTACCAAGGCAAAGCCGCATAAAAAACCCATATCCGACAGAGTTAAGCCCTACCAACCATGGAGTAATAAGCTTAAATTAAAGTATTAGCCGCGGTGCATAACCTACCAGGAAGACCGGCCGCCAAGCTCTTACCCGCTCTCACGTCCCCTCACCCTCGTATCCTGCACCCATTGTTAAAGACGCTGAGTTGAATGATCAATCGGTAGATTCTGTACGTATATATCGCGCCCACTTTATCAAATCCCAATCCCATATATCGTTCGCGAGCAGAAGGCTGAAGCAGACTAAGATTGAAATAAATGGTGGCGATGAATTTGTATACAAGTGCGATGTGACCAATCGCCGTACTGCGTATGTATTCATTCCACTTGCTTAGTAAAGTTTAATATACAATAATAAGTCTGAAAGCTTTCGGAGGAATGCGAGATTTAGATTCGATATTTTATCACCAGAATTACCAACAAAAACTATACTAAGGGCTAGTTTAGATGTACAAATCCGCACTGGATCCGCTGAATATTCTGCTCTTTTTGAAAGCGGATTTTGAATTCATGTTTAGATATCAAATTGCGGATTCCGTCAAATAATCCGTATTTCAATGAATTTAATATATTTCGAGGTAGGGAGGAGATGGATTATTCTAAAATGATACTAAATAATTCGTGTTTTTTATTAAATTTGTATGGGAAAACAAGAGCGCGGATTGAAAACGAGAATTAGAAAAAGCAGTCCTCGTTTTCAATCTGACAAATAATCCGCGTTTTTATAAGCTCTTATAGGCCTTTCACTCTATATCCATATAGTATTATAATGATATTAGTGCTTCAAATACTTAAATTTATAGGGTATCTTTATTTTTCTTTAAATTGTCTCTGATTTCGATTTAGATTATTTTATATTTCTATTCCCCACATACTAGAATATATATAGCTTAGTTTAAAAGTAGATTCTTCAATATTCTTTCTATTATAGCTTTAGATTTTATTAATGATTTAGATTATAAACTGTCTTTTTCTTATTCACAATAAGCGACAATAAGGTTGATGATTCTGAACAGTTTATTTCTATCTTGATTTATAATTTAGCTGCTGTTATTGGCTTTTTTTATTGTATTCCAATTTCGAAAAAAGAACTGGTATTTCTGATGAATTTAAAACACAATCTCTTCTTGATTCTAAACACCCTCAATGTTATCAAGAACAACTGCATATGCCTCTACGCACTTTTCGACTTTTGATCGAGTTTTGTTATGAAAAAACAAAGCTACAATACTCTCAATATGCTTCAATTGATCAAAAGCTATATATATTTCTCTATATTGTAAGCCAGTATGGAACTATACATAGTACAGCTGAAGCCTTTTCTCATTTTGAAGAAACAATCCATAGATACGAAAAACACCTTATATAAATCTATTTATTGGTTTATTCTAATACACGGGATACAATGACTCTCACCTGTACGTGGTGTATCCTACGAACCTTCGATCGTGCGATCGGAGAGCTAAGTAGAGTCAGCTGGAGCCGGGTGGTGGTTGTACACTAATCGGAGGCCGTACTGGGAGCAAAGGTATGCGCAGCTGATTACCAGAGGGTGATCGCGAAGATGCTTGGAACAAAGGACTACCAGTAAAACAGAGATGAAAATCATTCGATGGTAGAAGGGAAATGAGAGTGGGATTGATATAGAATCATATCTTTATGAATCTATGTGAAAAGCAGAGTTAGAGTATATTATGGCAAAGTATCTGCAAAGCAGAATTAGTCTTTGAAACAACGGATAATAAAGCTTCTATAATATAGCTAAATCTGACTGAAGTCTGTATTGAGAGTAGGGCCGATATCTTTAACTTAACAAATGAAAATCGATAGAATACTTTTAGAACACTAGTATACAGAGTTTTTACAATCTAATAATATATATAATCTATAGGTATACTGAATCGGATATTTACAAATAGTGAGGGAAATAATAGGAAGTATATAAAGGCTAGGACAGTATCTACTGGGGCCGACAGGAGTATATATAGAATAGGAGGAGGGACGTTTTTAGCACTTTATCTTCGAATACACAAAAGCAGTATAACAGTAAAGAAGCTTTAGTATAAAAAGGATGCTTTTAGTAAGCCATATTCAACAGTGCTCAATTGGTATTACAGCGGCAAAGGATTTCAGGCAAAGGCTAATTCTATAATATATATATGCAATGTGTTTCTAGCGTTCTACTTTCGACTACAAACTATACATTGGGGAAATGGATTTTACAAGTAGAGCTTTGGTTAGTAGATTGGAAATACTATAGAAGGGCTATCTGGCTAGGGATCTGAAATAGCAAGCCTGCGAGATACAGTCGGTTTTGTTGTATAGGAGAGATCCAGTAAGGTAATGCAAAACGGTTATTAGCCACAAGATATAATATATAATAACAGTGACAGCGACACTGTCTATATAGCTCGAGAGGACGGATGCGTGTATCAGTCTATAATCGGATACTATAGGGCAGAGGGCATAATGGAGGTATTAGATAGGCTTAAGGAGCAAACAGGAATAGAAGCGTGAAGAAATGGTTTTGGTTCTGGCCGGAACTTCCGAAGGTAGTCATGCAATAAGTGGTTTAACGTAGTCAAAAGATTCTATAGAAGCCTAGTACTAATGGCTTTATCACAAGTGAGCCGGGAAAGCATCTGTAGGTATAGCGAACCTACTTTGTATTATAATATATTCTAGAAAGTAGTTATAATATAATTCATTTCTGAAAATCATGCCGCATATGACCGATACCAGCCGATCGACACCTGGGGAGTGGCTGATGGCCCTAAGCATAAGCCACGAGTGATTACCTATGTACGAAAAGGAGGCAATTTGAAGGTCAGATAAATAAGACAAATCGAAAACAGAAACCTACTTTGGATTAATATTAACGGGTACTCGATCCTTAATACTTATCAAGCCCTACTCGATCCGCTGATAATAGAATATATACTTGGACTAGAAATCGTTTTAGGAACTGGTATGGTTATCGGAGGTAACTTCAATGCTAAATATAATCTGTGGGAATCTGGAATAGCAATTGCCAATCAAGGTGACATGCTTATACAATGGGTTGTTGAATAGGGAATAGAATATATCGGGATTCCTGGTACCCCTATATATGTGAGGGGATACGTTCTGGATCTGACCTTTTCCAACCTGACTACCGCTACGACGGTGATCGATGACGATCTGTACAGCGGCTCCGATCATGTCATTCAAGTCACTACCATCTCGGATAGAGGAATCTCTGAATATGAACAAGCGCATATCCGGATACGCAATTCAGATTTACCTTGCCTGGCAGGTATAATAACTAACCGCTTAGCGAATTTCCAAAACCCGAATCTCCAATCTATCTATAATATCGATAAACTAATTGCTAGACTCACAAGCACATTGAACGTTTCTGTAGTAGCTGTGAGGCAAAAAGGCTGCAAACCCTACCAATCATTCCCATAATAGACCAATAAATATAAAAAGGCACACCAAACATATATATAAGTTAGAAGAACTAGAACTGCTAATAGAATAATAATTGCCTAGTAGGACTTACAAAGGATCGTGCAAGTATCAAAACAAGCCTATTGGACTAAGTACTTGAACAATATATAGAACAATCAGGAACTATACAAAGTCATAAACTAGCACAAACTGACCCCAAAAGCAGGTCTCAAGACCTTTCTTCTGGTAATCGAAGGCTAGGAGATTATTAATATCAGAAAAAAAGCTAAAGCACTCTTTACAACAATACTCAACCGCTTCAAAGTATCGAATAATCTACAGCACGATCTTTTACAGAAACAGGACTGTCAGACAATCTTACTATAGAAAAGAACAATTACTGCAAAGGAAGTAGAAAAACATATAATAGGAGTCAAAAGCACATCACCCAGAATCGATCGGATAATTGTTTGCTTTCTCAAAGTATGCTGGCCTAATACGAAAAGTATAATACATAAGATTTTCGCGGCCTGCCTCAAGCTCAACTATTACCCTAACAAATAGAAATTTATTGAAGTAGTTATACTGCTCAAGGTTGATAAGAAGGATAGAATATCCCTGAGATTGTGGAGGTCGATTATAT